GCGTTACAGCATCTGTTATGGCTGTACAGGCCCATACGCGTGTGCCAATCTCGTTTGCAACGAATGCATGTGAAGACGCTTTTCCCGGATGTCGCCGTGTTGTTTTATTTCCTTCGAGTACGCTTCACTCCGGCGGCAAACCTCCGTTTCTTCTCTCCTCACTTCAGCCCTCGGTGTAAATCGCGTCTCCAGCGTGAGCGATCGTTAGCAACGTCTTCCTACCTTTCGATGTCCATGTCCATCGCTCCTCATGTCCATTTTGCAGACTTGGTTGAAACGAAGATGAGGACGCTCTCGTGCCGGTGGCCAATTCCCCGTACAGAAGGACCTTCGAAATTCTCCCATCTGTTCTGCCAAACATTTGCCCTAATCCCGTTAGGTAGGTTAATCTCTTAATCTTTTTCTCTGTCTCTCTTGCCTTCAATATGTCCTGTGAGTGGCAAATTCTCTAAGCCCACTTTCCCTATTATGCGTCAAAGAAATTTCTACTGTCACTTCCTGGTGTTAAGTATATGTGTCCTTTTCGTTTCCATTTTCTCTAAAACTTCATCGTTGCTCACACATTCAGTACACTGTATTCCCAGCATCTTTCTGTAGAGCTACATTTATCTTTCTTCTTTATCTGTGAGGAGATTGCAATCACTGCCATATAGGTAGAATGATATTAAATAATGCTAAAGTATTCTTATCATTTTGTTTCTAACAAAAAATTTTCCTGTTTCTTAATATAGGGTTCGACAGAAATACTTCTCTAATAACAGTAAAACATTAGCTAAATGAAGATACCGTTGTCAGTAAACTTTTACCACAATGTAGGAGGTATATATATATATATATATATATATATATATATCTTATATTATAAAACGCAGATTGTGTGTGTGTGTGTGTGTGTGTGTGTGTGTGTGTGTGTGTGTGTGTGTGTGTGTGTTGTCTGTACGTTTATATATTGGATCATTTTCCTTTAACATTTTTCAACCGATTTCAACAAAATTTCACAGGACTACGTAAAATTACTTTGCGGTGGTTCTGACAGCGCCAAAATTGGAAAAACACAATTGTTTTGCGAAATCAATTTGAAAACACGATTAAGCGGTATCGCTAGAATCAATAGGGGACAACTCATATCGAGTTATACTTATTATAAAACCCAGATTGTTTGTGTTTGTATGGGATCGGATTTCCTAGATTTTTCAACCGATTTCAACAAAACTTCACTTTTTCTTTTTTGGCAGGTAGTGTTTCTTATTGTCTTTTTTTTTTTTTTCTTTATTTTACATTCAGAATGCTTTAAAATTCCATTTACAAGACAATTGTTTATAATAAAATTTCTATTCAATCAGTAGACTCATAACGATTGAAAACAATGTTTTTGTTTGAGTTTGGGTTTGACCAATTCGTAAAAAAAAAAAAAAACTAATTAAGACATGCGTGTCCGTCAACCTTAAAAAATAATCTTTGTCAATTTTTTTTCCAATCTTTATGATGGTCGATACTTGATCTATCTCTTACTGTTACATCCCCGAGCATCGCCGGGTTCTACTGCTAGTATATATGTATATATGAAGAAATATAGTTGCTTAGCTTTTAGAAGGCATCTTTGGCTATCCCTATGAGCTTTTGGATTTCGGAGATTGCTCTTAAGTGGCCTTAATTCGTTTTTTTTTTTTTTTTCTTTGTCTGCAAGAATTTCTCCTGCAGAGTCGTGTATGCTATGAAATGTTGATTATGATTCGTTGCGGTGTCTGTCGTCAGCGTCAGGTCTTTGCTGGAAAATGTATTAATGTGTTTCCGGTCTTTCTAAAACCAAACAACGTGACCTTTAAGATTTAAACATTACTTTGCCCAGTGATTTATCAGTGCAAGAGGATTCGTACATGTCATTCAGATAAAAAAAAAAGAAAGAGCCAACTCATATAAAACTCTATGTGCAAAATCACAGCATACACATTGCGCAGTATTTTGCAACAGTTATTCAAACACAAACACGAATGTACAAGTTTTCACGAATACATACACGTGGGCAGATAGAAGAGTCCACTGCACAACGCGGTAAGTTACGCCCGATCACAGCTGAAAAATAAATCAAAGATGGAGTGTGGAGTTAGCGAAATCATAGCCATATTATATATATATATATATATATATATATATATATATATATATATATGGCCTGACGATTGCGCACAGCATGAAACAGCCTGTCGACTCTGAGTGTTGACTTCAATGTTTACTTTCATATATATATATATATATATATATATATATATGGAATTACATAAAAATGAAACTCAATTGTACCCCCATTTTAATGGTCATTTCCGGATAATCTCTCTGGAGCTTGTCAATGCTAAAATGTTAATACACACACACACACACACACACACACACACACACACACACACACATATATATATATATATATATATATAGGAAGAAATATAGTTTTAAGGTGTGCTATATTTATGGGATAAAGTGCTCAATATCAGAGATAGAGCGTGTCTCTGACGATTGCACCTAACATGAAACAGCCTGAGTGTTTAATGGACACACTTGTACATATATATATATATGTAAATATATATATATATATATATATATATATATATATATATAAAATTATTATTTATAAAAAAGATTATAACATAAGTATGTTATAAAATCACTAAAAAAATATAAATAATAATTATATCTGCTCTACTTTGTATTGAGCACTCTTTTAAGAATAACAAATGTAATTATTGGTTATTGGAATTCATTCCGTATATACCAATTATATACTATACATGTATATATATATATATATATATATATATATATATATATATATATATATATATATATATATATATATATATATATATATTTCGGAAGCATGTTTTCATTAAGACATGATTCGTTGCATAGTTTAGACATGATCTGTCTACTTATTTTCGATAAGATCTTTTCATATTCGCGTATAAATTTTTTGATGTCTTTACTGAAAGACGAGAGAAAAACTCCGGGTTTATATATATTTGTTTTATTATCAAGTACTTGGAAATAAAACAAATATATATAAATATATATAAGATAAACATAAAATTCTCTGACGCTTAAAAAAGGCAACCCCCCTAAGTGCTTAATATCAG